GCGTTATATGCGTGAAAAAATTTGTAAAACTGTACGCTGCCAGTCCATCGATAATATGTGAAAGCGATTCGCGTGGTGGAAATTTTATATCGAAAATCTGTCGCTGTCTCACAACAATTTTTCCTTCGCTACATTCATTGCATCAACGCCATGAAAGAAGTTGTATTTTATTTTAAATTTTTTTCGCAAGATTAGCAAATTGTTTTCTGCTTGGAAGCTTTACGTAATCTTTTGTTAACACGTGCTAAATAGCTTGACAAATTTCATTAAATTTTGCGTATTGATTGATTAATGGAAGAGGGAAAGTGTGAAATTGTATTCGAATCCGAAACAACGTAATATCGAACGTTTGTTTAGTTCAAATTCAAAATGGAATTTAGAAGAAATTTATTGAATTTTTTAATATTTAAATCCTAAATTACTATTATAATTTAAATTAATATCTCCAAAAAATTAATGCTAGAACTATTTAACATTCAAGATTGACAATTGTTCGATAGTGTTGTAATTATTACAACGTGTTTTTACTCGTTTCAAATTTATTTTACGTCTCTCCCATTAACGCATTTATTTCTATGTTTAAAACATCTGAATCTTGTCGTTATTCGTGGCTGTAGAAGGTGAGTGTACTTCATTAACGATTTTAGATTTTTTTTAACGTACCGAAGTTTCCTGTACGTACCATTTCGGATTGCTTACAAGTCCGTGTTTTCTTTTTTTTTTCTTACGTCTCATTCGTGTTGCTCGAATCTACTTTTTAAATTTTTTTCAATTACTCAGTAAAACATACGCCGTTTTTAAACTAAGCTCTTCAGTAACTATTGGAATTTTGTATACTCGTACTTCAGTTTACAAGAATATCGAATGAAGAGCACTAAATATCTGAAAATAAAGACATTTTATTAATATCATTCATGCCTGACTTATATTTATCCGATTAGAAAAAAAAGACAATTTACTGTTATCGGGAAATCCCGTTTTATATAGAAGAATCCGCCAATGGATATGCCGAGAAAAATCTTTCCAAATCTCTTCATAAAATCGTTATAATGCCGGGCTGCAGCTTTTAATCATTTATTTATGATTCAGTTAATTTAACATTTCGGTGTTGATTTTAGTTTTGTCATGATTGTGTACATCATTATTTTCTTGCTAACAATTGATTCGTGCGGTCATCTATCTTCGTCCGTTTACAAAAAAAAAAAAATGTTTCAATGGGAATAACGTGACTTCCGTTATAAACTGGAAGTTCATATAAGTTAATGGGAACCTTCTGTCATTATGCTTTTCAACCCTGTTTTTGCAGTTTCATGTATCTCTATTTTTTTTCTCTAGAAGATTAAGGAAGAACAAACGGCAGTGGAATTTATAGGTGTACAATTTTTACAAATTGCAGTCTAAAAAGTGCATTAATTCCATATAAATCAAGAAATATTGCTTATATCATCAATAATTGTAAAATATACAGAATATTAAATGTGCGGCATATTTGTCGATGATTTTTATCTTCGAAACAAAAATAATTAATATCTTTCATATGGTGACAGATTCTAATTCCTATTCGATTGAGGTTTACGTCCAAAGTGTTTTAATATCAACACTAATATAAGCCGTCGTCTCACACGTTTGGATTTTATTCGTTTCTCATTAAATCTCATCAATTGTTAATTTTTCAATGTCACTGTTTTCTATTATTTAAGTGGAAATCCTTAATAATTAGCATTATCCCTCTTCTTGTAAAAAATATTGTGCGTCTTTATTTAAATATCTACATTTGTTACATAATACACGGCATAATAGTAAAGAGTAAGGACAGTTTTAATGAAAGAAAATTAAATATTTAATATTTTTAACCTGTATTCAATACTAAATAAATAAATTATAATAGTTTATTTTACGATATTTGTAGTACTAAATATATAATTTATCTATAGCTATATATCTATATATATATATATATATATATATATATATAAATGGACATGTATGTCCCTATATTTCACTTTTCCGCCAGAACTACACATCGCACGTGAATGGTGTTTGTATGTGGTAGTAGCCCAAGTCTCCCATCATGCACTATGGTGGTTGTGTCTCAATAGCTATAGGGGTGAGAGAGATATGTGGTTTGAAAGTGGTTGACTTCGAAAATGTGTGACGCTTCAATGAGAATGGTCCAGTTTTTTCTGGAAAGTTCCAGAACCTAGAGGTGAAATTTGGTACACAGTTAGGGTACGTCATGAAAATGCTAAGAAGGGATTTTTCGAAATTCCTCCACGAGGAGGAGAGGGAGAGCATTAAGGGTTAACCTGAAGAACGGCTTCTACTGTACTATTTTAGATGCAAATTTTTTGTTTTTCAACTACGTTTAGTCTTCATTGAGTACTTAGAGATATTATATTGATAACATTTCAGACATTGTTATAAATATTTTTTATATATTTCGATTTTTTAACCAAATGTTCGAACCGTTTTAAATTCGAATTTCTTTTTATTAATACATATTGGTTTGATTATAGAACAATTGTAAACGTTCCAGAAAATCTATCAAATTAAAAACAGTTCGTTTGATTCTCAGCAATTCTCATCACTCTCAGCAGTAGGTTTTAAATAACAATTACTATGGTTGTTGAAATATTGAATGTAAATAGGATTTGCTTGCAAAATCTGTGTGAGCAAAGCCACGGGTAAACAGCTAGTTTTCTATAAAAAGCATGACATTTAGAATAAATTTTGGACACTGGGAGATTTTATCAAAAACCAGGACTGTCTCAGAAATGGGAACCTAATTTAATCAAAATTTTTAGCCTATTGCATCAAAATTACTGCTCTAATAAAACTTTTATAAAATTAGTAAAATTTATAAACTAAATAAATTTTCCATCTTGATGACATTTTTATCAATTTTATTTGATTCCAAAACCACTCTTAACTTCCTCTCTTTACCTACTCAGTTCTTAGCTTTGCAGCAGTCACTCCTGTTTTGCCACTAGATTTGACTAACTAGCACAGGTGCACTTATGTTGAAGGTCACAGCTAAGGCAGACGGACTATACCTATGGAAAATCTGTGAAACTCTGCAGACAACTTTATGGGGTGATTTAAGGCCACCTATTTTACAAATCCAGCAGAAATTCTGTCACTGATTGCCAAGTTTGAATAGAGAGAGAGTGAAAGGTATCAGTCAAATATCCACTGCTAATTGTCATTCAAAGCCTGTTGTATATGTTCTCCAAACCTTAAAAACCAGGCATGGCCAACATATGGCACGTGATTAATCTTTCAATATTAGCTACTCAAGTCAGAATAGATCAGTGAAAAAATCTAACGCCTAAAAAAAAAGTCAACAACTCGCTGTCCAGTTAGAGTTAACTCTCCATTACAAATCTTTTAAGTACAGCATAGAACATTCGTAAAGCATGATAATGTGAAAAATGTATCTGTAGTCTCTCTGTACAATTTAGTTCTCTACAGGGTGACACCACAATGAGATCTTGCACCACCTCAAAATCTTCCTAGTGCAGCCTCTGGTTTGGCCCGTGAAAAAAATTTTCATTCCAATTCGTCCCGGGGGCAAAAACTGTTGGCCACCCCTGGCATAGACTATTCCAGATAGAATATAACAGGATTAGTTCATATATGGATAAAAAAACACTCTACACTGTGGACCAATGAAAACAAGTCATCTCCCTCAACTGACTTAAACCAGAACATATAATCATATATTAGTAGTCGACTTATTCAGTATTATAGAGTCCTCTGCTATGTAACCTAGGGTTGCCATATGTCCCAATTTTTTGGGATTTGTTTGATTTGATACATTTTGTCTGAAACAGAAAATTTTTCTTGGATTGTTCAAATTTGTCCATTTCTACTCAAAAACATTCTAATGTGTATTAAAAACTGCCAAATAAGAACTGTAGATGGTAGGTGTTTACAAGTGTCATACATGCATATACCATCTGTCCTCACATGCATGTGCCTATAGTAACCTATAGCATATATGTTATGTTCTGTCAGCTGTGGTGAGCACGTGGTGATGATTGAGTTCTCACAAAGAGACGGGAATATAAAACAATAAGACGTGCTTTATTTTTACTGTATGAACATATATACAGGAAAGGTTCGTTGATTCCGACCTCCTTGTTCCTCACTTTAATTAAACAAAAGGGAACAAACAACACCGATCGTTGGTTCACAGCGGAGCTAAACTTTTCTTTCGCGTAACAAAGGAGACACTTAATTACTAACTTAAAACTACCTATAACTAGAAGAGGAAAGGAAGAACAAGAATTAGGATAGAATGGGAGAACAAAAAAAAGGAAATTTCTAGCAAGGAACGGGTACCCGAATGGTTGACTGCGGTGGTGGCCACTAGATGATTTCGTCTTGGGATTCTTTTCTTCTATGGGGACGGAGCACATGCGAGGACCCAAAATTCGTTCTGAAATCTCGGCTTTTCCAAAGTTCTTTTTCTCTTCCAATGCGATTTCTGTCCTTAGTGTTCTTCGTAACCCTTCCGGCCGAAGCAACACCCAACTCGAGACCGCTCTCTCCGACGGTCTTTCCTCCT